GAACCTCAGGAAAAGGCCTCACTGGCCCCCAATCCTGCCAGCACCCATCCCCCCTTGCTGAACCCGGGCGGAGGATTCCCCAGAGGTGCTGAGAAGAAAAGCCACAGGAGCCAGGGCGCGGAGGGCTCGGTGCAGCGGGGATGCCATGCACGCTGCGGCATGTGGAGCCGGGATGCGGAGGTGATAATGCTGTGGGAAGGTGAGGCAGGGGCTGGTCTGTGGCATGGAGGGGGACGCACGCAGCCTGGGGCAGCTCGCCGCTCGCTCCCGGGGGCCTGCTCCAACAGACCCTGCAGTGCTCGGTGACCTGAAGGGCTTCAAGGACTGTGTTCCAACACCAGACCCTGGAACCAGGTCTGTGCCCCAGGCCCAACTCAGAGGCAGAATCCCCTGGGACACCCACAGAATCCCCTGGGACACCCATCCAGCTGCTCCACAGGGCCTCGTCAGCTCAGAGTCTGCTCCTGCTGCCCAGCCCAGGAAAGACGTAAGGCTGCTGGACATACAGATGCCTTTTCCGTGAGAGCTGTGACCCTCTGCAGCCTCCTCACGCTCCGAAGAGCCAGGCTGGCAGGAGAAGTGGGGGAAGCCCAGGGGCATTGCACTCACGGCCCAGCTCTGTCCCTGGGGACAGCCTGCCCTCCCCGGCCAGCGGCACTCACCGAGCTTTAGGAGCCAGCCCTCCCGGTCGGGGTTGAAGAAGGTGTGGGTGAGGTCATTGCCGTCGTCCTCAGGGATTTTGAAGGGCTCATTCTTGATGCTTTCGTAGAGATTCTGGGACAATGACACATGATGTCAGCTCTGCTCTGCCCTGGAGCCCTGCAGCAGGCCCTGCTCCAGGCCAGCTCTGCAGCCTGGCCCTGGCCCTCACCCGAAGCAGCTCCTCGGGCAGGTCCCCCCCGTCGTTGATGCCGCGGTTCATGGCGATGAAGCGCTCTGCCGTGGGCTTGTCCTTCACGTTGGGGTTGTGCAGGCTGGTGTTCAGCATGATGATGGCGAAGGAGAGCACGTAGCAGGTGTCTGCAGGGGCAGAGGGGTAAGTCAGCTGCGGGACAGGATGCCAGGGAGAGGGCCTGGGGCAGGCACTCACCTGTGGACTGGAAGACGCCAGGGTTGCACTGGCAGTACCGCTGGGCAAAGGCCTCCATCATCCGGTCGATCTTCTGTGCCTCCCCGGGCAGCCGAAAGCTCCACAGGAACTGCCTGTGGAGAGAGTTGTGGCACTGATTTGGGGGCTCC